TGCGCTACCCCCACCAAACACCTGGTTTCCCCATCACTGCAGCAGCAAAAGACGTCTTTTGTGCAGCTGCAAAAGCCTCTTTTTCCTACCGCTACTCTACAGACCACCTGATTCACCAGGCAGCTTTTTTATTTTTGCTGTGAGGCTGCCTGGTCTGGTGGAAGGGCAGGAAAAAAATGTGCCTAGACATTTTGTTTTGCCACCCATAACCTAGGTCCCAGGAGCAGCATGGCTCCTACCATTCCTATGCCAGTTTCTAACACTGAAAGAAACACAACACAGATGAAATAATGCCAGTGTTGGATCTCTTGCATGTTTTGGTGTACAGACCTAAACACAGGTTGAGAGAAGCACAAAAGGAATCAGATTTTTAAATTTCCCTTCCTCCTTTCCTAATTACACAGAATCCAGAATTGTGTAGCTGTAGATCTGCCTCTCAATGGGAATCTACTGAGTCTGTCCTTTGATGTCTTCCAAAAATAGGAAATGCCTCAAAAGCTGTAGCGAGGATACATATTTTCATCCTCAAAACTATGATCAACAAACAGAGAATCAAGCAGAGGTACACAGTTCCTTTTTTGGTCACCTTTTAATCTACCATTTTAAAGAAAGCAGTTCAGCAGAAGAGAATACATCTTCAAATATCTTCAAGGGCCATCACATGGAAGATTGAGAAATTTCTCCTGCGCTGGAGGCCAGAACCTGAACCAATGGCTTCAAGTTACAAGAAAGGAGATTCCAACTAAACATCTGGAAGAACTTTCTGACTCCTTTCTTAAGAGACTCCCACTTCTTGATCATGCACGGTTTTTAAGCAGATGGCCATCTGTCATGGATGCTTCAGTTAAGATTCCTGCATTACAGGGGGTTGGACTGCATGATCCACAGGATCAACTCTACAATTCTGTGATTCAGTATTTGCCTGATTACAGTACAGATATGAAGGTGGATTCATCTGACTTCCTGCAAACAGAGAAAACCTCCACTTCTACACCCTAGCTAGCATAATATCCATTTAAAATCTTACCAATCTAAATAGCAGAACATCTGTGTAGTAAACTACTGTAGTATGACTATCACATTCCTTTTTATATAGCAATGGGGGTTTTTAAGTGCTTTAACTCTGGTTGTGCTCAATTTCATCAACATTAATTGGTGGCATAATATATGAATTAAACATAGCCTCTACCTTATTTCTGAGAATGAAGCTGTATTAGACTTCCAATAGCTTTAGGAATTTAGGTCTGTATCATCAAGCTTATGAAAATAAATTATGTCATTTTGAAGATACTACTTTCCCTTCACAAGGTATACAGTTCTGCCACTGTATCTAAAGGCTGACATAAAATCTCTTTATATTTACCAGCTCTGGACATGCAAACTCACACTTTTCCCGACTTATGCTGTTGGAATTTAGTACAGGGAAACCAGAATTATTGCTGGGGGCGGGGGATGGGGAGTGAAGTGGGAACCCAACAGCATTTGAATTGAAGCAGCTTCACCTACTAAGCCTTGGCATTTGTGCATCACAACAAAAACTCCATTCAAAGGTGACTCTACTTGTGTTGAATCCGTGTATTGTCCGCAACAAACATTTGCTTAGGCCTATGACTTTTCTTCATGCAGGTCAGGTTGCACTACACACCCACATCCGGTCCAATACATGCAACTGCAATCCTTCAAAATTGGAGAAGGAGGAGGGTCCTGAGAGCCCTGCTAGATCAGACCAAAGGCCCATCTGCTCCAACATCCTGTTTCTGCAATGGCAAATCAGATGCCTCTGAGAAGCCCACAACTAGGACATGAGGGCAATAATAGCCCTCTTCTGCTGCTGTTTCTCAGTGACTAGGGTACTGCCTCTGATCCTGTAGACAAGTACCCATTGATAGCCTTATCCTCCATAAATTTGTCTAAACATTTTCTAAAGCTATCCTAGTATGTAGCCATCACAACATTCTGTGGTAGCAAATTTCCATAGTTTAACTATGTGCTTTGTGAAAACTTCTTTTTGTCTGTCTTGCACTCCACAAAACTCAGATTCACTGGGAAATCTAAGGTTTTAGCATTAGGGGTTTTTTTTGGGGGGGGGGGGAGGGACACGACTTCTCCCTAGGGACCTTCTGCATGCCACACAGGGTTTTATACACTTTTATCATAACCCCACTTCACTTGCCTTACTTCTAAACTAAATAACGCCAAACAGTGTCAGCTGTCCCTTTAGGCGAGTTGTTCCAGTTCCTGATCATTTTACTTGCCCTATTCATAACCTTTTCCAGCAGTTCTACTACATCCCTTTCAAGGGGTGGCAGCAAACACTGTTCAGAGTATTCCAAGTGTCAACTCATAGATTTGCTCATTCTTCTCCTAATGATCTCTAATATATTGCCTTTTTCACAGCAGGGCCACACTGAATCAACATTTCTTTTTCTTTTCTTTTAATTGTGTACTTTAACACACCAAAAAGAAAAAAAACAAATATCCATCAACACAAAACAAAAAGAACATTAATACATTAACTAATAATCTCAAAACTTTAAATTAGCGGTGTTCTTTTTCTATAGACCCAACTTCCTGTCTACTCCTTACTTCAATTTCTCATCAGTTATTCACCGACATAACATAACAAATTATATAATTTAGTAATTATATAATTTAGTAATCTTTTAGTAATCTTTAGTAAATCTTTAGTAAATTTAGTAATCTTTAGTCTAACTTAAATTTTACACCATACTTGAAACTGCTACTGAAAATTATTTGAATGCTGCGACAGAGTTTAAACCGCAATTATTATTTTTCAGATAAATTTTGAAGATAAATACCTTTTAGTTTGTTTTTTATCTTTATTTTCACTGACTAATCCACCACAGTCTCCAAATCCCTTTCCTGTCCGGTCAGTCAGACAAAGAGTGATCACCATTCAGACCAGGCATATCTACATTAGGCTTAAAACAGTCATAATTGATTATATCTGAAGCTGAAGCATGTACAAGGAGCAAGTAGGACCACCTATAAAGCAAAATCAATATATTCTCCACCCTGGGAGTGGGGGGAGGGGGGAGAGACAAGTCAAGGCTACACATGCTGAAATTAGGAGTCTTTTTACCTTTATTTGCCAGTTTAGATTTTTTTAAAAACTCTATTAAGAAGAAAAAACCCTGACCACACTGAGGTCTCTAAACCATTTAAACAAGTTTTCCAAGAATCTCCCACGTAGGCTCACAAATAACAAAACTTTTAAAAAACACCACTGAAGTGCACGGGTGGCAATAAAACCTGCTGACAGCTCAGACTTCAAAAGTGGTGCATTTGATCTTGTGCCTCAAATATAATACATTTTGAAACAAGCCACTTGGATTCATTTGAAACTACTTCCGAGTCGATGTATGTAGTAGCTGGCCTTGGTGTATTCATAGTTTTTCCATATTCATCAGTCAATAATTCCAAAGATCAACAGCAATGCTGCATTTATTTAATAGGGCCAAAACCTTAGGAGCCCTTTTTAGTATTAGTATCAGTATTAGTTCTCTTAAAATATGTTCTCTGAATATCAAACTGGGAACACAAGCATGAAAATATATCTTGTCAGTGGACTAGATGTTTAGGTAATACTGACAGTTTACAGGAAGTATCAATTTATATGAGAGATATTAAACCCAAAGTATAGCATACAGACAAAAACACCCTAGCACATCTAATATAAACATCCAGCATGCTACCTTTCATTATAATATGCTTTGTGAGATACAAAATAGAAAACAGGAAACTTAGCTTCACTCTCACTTCTGGCCACTCCACTTTCCTTCCCCCTTACAAGTTAAGCATAGAAAAAAATAATTCCATTGCTGGACAGCTCAGATTCAGAACAGATAAAACTGGAATTCAGCTGATAGAAAGCCAAGAAGAGGAATCACAATGATTGTACAGACAAAGTCAGTTGACTCCCAGCCAATATAAAGCATGTAGCCTTTTAAAAGGTAATGTGATAAAACACTTCACAGAAAAGTACAATGTCATAAGCCAAGACTCATGGAACTATGTCATGCAGGTTTTTAAACAAAACAGTATAACACAGAACTTCAAATTAGTAGGAGCAGGTGTAAAAGATTTCTCTTTAAGAGATGACACACTGACAGATCAAACCAAATCATAACTAAATCACAAAGATGACAACATCAAAACCCTCACCATCTCAAATCACTGTACTCCTCTTTTGATAAAAACAAATAAGAAATTAAACAACACCTCCTCCTCCATTTTAGCCCTTTAAAGGAAACTGGAGAAGGAAAATAACTTTGCTACAAATACATCACACTAGGGTTAATTGAGACCGAGGACACAAGGCCAATTTTGAAAAGCAAACTTTAAAAGGATAAACACCACACCAAAAACTTACGTTTCCTTTTAGAGGTGGGAAACCCTTTGGTGGGGACATAACACAGGAGAAAAAAGCTTTTGCACATTAGCACAAAGGAATACGACTTATTTTGTTCTGCCTTTTTATTATTCAGCTAACGTCCAGGACTACTGTACTTTAGTTAGTCCTGGGCAGACCCAGCTTTAGGAAACGCTTCGGGCTCCCCCTAAAAAGGAGAGATTCCCCCTAGAAAAGCTCCATGACAAAGGCATCCCTCCCTCCCCCCCCCCGCCACCCCAAAATAAAAGGACTACAACCATAGCCAGGTTTTTGCCAGAGGAAGAGGCAGAGGACGCGGGGCTGCTGTGCAATTTCCCTTTCCAGGAGGACAAAGAACGGAGCCCGCAAACCTCAAGACAGCGACGCGAGAGGCGGAAAGCAATCCGGGAACACGCGCATACACACATTCGGGGGGTAAACACGAATTGATTCTTTTCTTCCTTTTACCGTTTTCTTGCTTTTACAGTTTAATTCTTCATTAAAAACTGCCTTTCCCCCCTTTTACAGTTTCCTCGCGTCCCGGCCAAACCCGACAAATGGTGATTAGGAACAAAACCCGGAAGGGAGCGCGAGGCTGGCTGCTCACCCAGGACCAGGACCCGCGGACACTTCTCCTTCCTCCCTGCGGGAAGCCCCTCAAAGCCGGGCGGGAAGCGAGGCCCCGCGCGCCCAGGCGGGAGCGGAGTCCGAAGGGGGCGGCGAGAGGGGACGGAAGCCGCGCGCCAGCGCCTCCGCGGCCTGCGAGGAAGACGGCGAGGGCGGCGGGCCAGAAGCCGAGCGGAGCCTCCGGGTCAGCGGCACAAGAAGCAGCAGCAGCAGCAGCAGCAGCAGCGGCCGCTCCGGCGCACAGACACATATAGCCCAGGAAGCGGGCGGGGAGGCGGTGACCTCATAAGAACGCGCCGCCCCGCGGAGGATGACGGGAACTGTAGTCCTCCGGAGAGGGAGGCGCTCCTGAAACAAGGCCCCGTCCGCCAAGATGGCGCCGCCCAGAGTCCTTGCACGGGTCTTTGTTTTTTGAAGCACCGCCTTCACTTGTTTGCTTATTTATTACAAACAAGGTTTTAAATCATTCCAACAACTCAGATTAATAGCACAGTGAACCCTCAACTTGCGCGCCTTTAACTTGCGTGCATTCAGCTTTACACCCTTGGCTTTTTAAAAAGTTAAAAAGGGGGGCGGGGGGCGTCTAGGGAAAAGACTTTGGCAAGCCCCCCCCCGCTTCCAATCTGTTTGGATTATGCGCAAATTCGGCTTTAGGCGCGATCCCTGGAATGAGCATTGCCGCCTTCGGTCCGGCAAAATAAGGAACATGGGGGGGGGGGGATTGGGCGGCTAAAAATGGCTTGACCCGGTGCAGAAAGAAATGTCTTCCAAGCAATCCATTATAATGGCCAGACTCAGAGAGTAGACCCAAGGAAACGTACGGCTCTAAGTTAGCAACGCACATTCATTTCAGTGACCCAGCTGCTGAATTTCTACCTGTCAAAAGAATGGTAAATGTAGAAAACCAGCCAAAGAAAGAAAGAGGTGGAGATAGCAACAAATTCTGTTTCTTTTCCAAACAAAACTTTGCTTCTAACATCTCTTTCCACATACCTGCTAATGCCATATTCTCTCTCTCTCTCTCTCTCATGTGCATCACAGTCAGACATGTTCATCCAACCACTAGGGTTACATCTCTTCTTGTCATATATTTGAGACATTTTAAAATAATTCATCTGTTGTCCATAGGCATTCATAGAATCTTAGAATTGTAGAGTTGGAAGCGACCCTGAGGGTCATTTAGTCCAACCCCCTGCAATGCAGGAATTTTAACTAAAGCATTATTTAAAGCACTCTTACACCACTTTAACAGTCCCCCAAAGAATCTCTCATTCATACACACACACACACACATCTATATATATATCTATATGCAGGTTTTGGTGTCCTCGGGTGTCTTCCCGTGTAAAAGTTGGGGTGTCTAGGCGACGTTTCGACGAGGTCTCACTCGTCATCTTCAGGCTGGTGCTTTCGGCTTCTTGTTACTGGAACAGAGCAGGATCTCAGTGTTTGAGTTCCTATAAATACTGTTGAGGGGGTGTGGTGTATAGCCTCCAATGTTCTGGGCAGAGAGGAAGTTCCCAGGCTAGTGTGCCTTTTCTTCTTTTGTTCCTTAATTACTTGAGGGATATCTTGAGTGATTTCTTGAGTGATATCCTGAGTACCACTTAGGTGGGTCATTAGGTGTGGATTAGTTGCTAAAGCCTTCGTGTCTTGACCTCTTGAACTTTGTGAAGAGTTTTTCTGAGAAGATGGCTGTATTGCATTTAGTTGTGCTCTGGCTTGGCTTCGTGTATAGGGGCGAGCTGTGGTTTTGTGTCCTGTGCCAGCCAGATCTGTGTAGGGATTGCAGGGGGGTGCAGCATCCGGAGGTGCCACCATGGTTTGGCTACTGGATGGTGTCTGTAATTTCTCTGTGGAGAGGGTCTGGGTTTGGGGCTGGTGTGGTTGATTGGTGATGGCGTTCTGTGTGCCTCTGGATCTGGTGTCGGTTTTTGTGGGGAGGGCTAATTTCCAGATGTCTGGCAGGCGGGATGTGTCGTCACGCTTGTTCATGTTGTGAGGGTGTTTCTCTATCTCCCTCACAACATGAACAAGCGTGACGACACATCCCGCCTGCCAGACATCTGGAAATTAGCCCTCCCCACAAAAACCGACACCAGATCCAGAGGCACACAGAACGCCATCACCAATCAACCACACCAGCCCCAAACCCAGACCCTCTCCACAGAGAAATTACAGACACCATCCAGTAGCCAAACCATGGTGGCACCTCCGGATGCTGCACCCCCCTGCAATCCCTACACAGATCTGGCTGGCACAGGACACAAAACCACAGCTCGCCCCTATACACGAAGCCAAGCCAGAGCACAACTAAATGCAATACAGCCATCTTCTCAGAAAAACTCTTCACAAAGTTCAAGAGGTCAAGACACGAAGGCTTTAGCAACTAATCCACACCTAATGACCCACCTAAGTGGTACTCAGGATATCACTCAAGAAATCACTCAAGATATCCCTCAAGTAATTAAGGAACAAAAGAAGAAAAGGCACACTAGCCTGGGAACTTCCTCTCTGCCCAGAACATTGGAGGCTATACACCACACCCCCTCAACAGTATTTATAGGAACTCAAACACTGAGATCCTGCTCTGTTCCAGTAACAAGAAGCCGAAAGCACCAGCCTGAAGATGACGAGTGAGACCTCGTCGAAACGTCGCCTAGACACCCCAACTTTTACACGGGAAGACACCCGAGGACACCAAAACCTGCATTCCTGTACCCGTGAAAATCTACGAAAGCAAATATATCTATATCTATATATAATCATATATGGATATAATTTTCATATTTTTCATTTCAAATTAAACATATTTCATACCATACATTCAATGACTTCCCTCCCTCCCCTTTCAAGGTTCTATTAGATTATCTACCATTCCTGCATATTTTAATATATCCATCTACTTCAGTTCTCCTATCTTGCATCACTTTTAAATATGTTATGCTATTGAATTTACCTTAATACTGCCAGCGTTTTCAACTGTGCACAATTATTTTCTACATATGCAATGAAAAATTTCCACTCCTCTTTAAATACCTGTTTTTCTTGTTCTCTTATTCTACTTGTAAGACCAGCTAACTCTGCATATTCTATCATCCTGAGTTGCCAATCCTCCTTGCTAGGGACCTCCCTCACCTATTTTGGGGCTAACAAAATCCAAGCTACCATTGTAGCATACATAATTAGGTTTTTCTGACACCTAGGAACCTTTGTCTGGACAATTCCTAACAGAAATGCCTCTGGGGTTTTTTTTGGGGGGGGGGAGTTGTTTTAAACATTTTCCCATCTCATTATATATAATTTCCCAATATTCTTTAACTTTTTTGCATGCCCACCACATATGGAAAGAGGTCCTTCCATTTCTTTACATTTTCAACCCAAATCGGATTCCGCTTTATACATCCTAGCCAATCTACTTGGAGTTAAAAACCATCTATGAATCATTTTAATGTAATTCTCTTTCAATGTGTGGCATGCCGTAAATTTCAAATCTTTTTTTCCAAAGTTTCTCCCAGAGGTTTAGTTCTATATTATACAATATATCCATTGCCCAGTGGGGTGTTTTCCTTTCCATCAAGTTTTTGTATTTCTCCCAGACTCCATAAAAATTTCTCCTAATGGTTCATGAAACGCTTATAAATTTTAGCTTTCTCATACCAAATGCCAGCTGAATTTCGTACTGTGGCCTTCCAAATCTAAAATGTGTGCATTTCCCAATACAATCCATTCCCTTAGCCAACACAAACAAGCCACCTCATAATACAATTCTAGGTATGGCTGGGCAAAGCCCCCTCTTTCTTTTGTATCAATCAAAATTTTATGTTTAATTCGAGGCTATTTCACCTGCCAGATGAATTTAGAAATATATTTTCTCCTTTCCTTGAAACAACTTAAGTTATTAACAATCGGGATTGACTGAACAATCAGGATTGACAACATTTTAAGGCAGTAAATTCATTTTAATGGCTGAGATTCTACCTAATAGGGAGAGTTTAATTCTTCCCCAAATCTCCATCTTTTTATTATCTTTCTACAGTTTAATATAATTATATTGAAATAAATTGAGATTTCTCACTGTCAGACAAATCCCTAGGTATTTCTTACATATTTTTAAGCCACTTGCCATTTCCAAAACCTTTTTCGACTGGTCGTCCATGTTTTTAACCAACGTTTTAGTCTTTTCTGTGTTTCTTTTAAGGCCTTCCACTTCTTCTAATGTCTTGGGGGCACTCTCTGTTGGTTGTTCCAATGTTCATACCACATTGTCAGCAAATGCCTTTAATTTATATGATTGGCGCCCCACCTCTATACCTTTTATTTCCCTATTTTCCCTTATATTCTGTAACAATATTTCCAATGTCAGGATAAACAACAACAGGGATAAAGGGCAGGAGAAGGGCCAAAAACAGTTGGCCTTTCACAGGGCTGGTCCAAGATATTTTGGCACCTAAGAACAGACCCCAAGATACTGATGCCCCTCCATGCCAGGGAGGAAGGGGGGAGGGAATATCTACACATCAGGAACAAGGGGGAAAGAAAGATTGACATTGGGAACTGCTGCCCCAGGGAATCTTTCTTCCTGAGGTAGTTTCCTCCCCTTGACTCATGGGTGGGCAACCCTGGTCTTTCAGCAAAGCCCATGGAATAGCCCTGCTTCCCTTCTCCCTCTCACATCCTGATGTCTGCTGCTAGGTGACTCAAGGACAGCAGGCTTCTGTGGCAGAATTATACAATTATATAAACTCTACTTCTATAGGAGCTCCAGATGATTATATGCTGATAATTTTAATGGTATCCCATATATCAAACAAGTAACAGAAGGACCACAGCCATGTACATGTGTCTTTGAGCCCAGGGCTGATCTAGGACAGTTTGCTGTCTGGGAAGAAAGGACAAGATGGTATGTCCCTTAGTTCACATGTGGAAGTTAACTGGACCGGCGGTTTAACCTTGCTTCTACTCTTGTGATGAAACAACATCCTCTACTGCACTTAAAAACAGCAGGCCAGGTGAAGGTAATCTGTATGGCAGGCACAGCTCTGTCTTCCAAAACTTTGGCCTGACTTGTTCACTGCACTACCTTGCACCTGTCTGCTGCTTGAACAAACAAATGTCGCAATGCAGGAATGGAAATGCCATGTGTCATGTGTGCAGACAACATATGCCATGTGTGCAGAGTACATGTACACACACATGATGCCTGCTAGAGTGTGTGATCTAGTTTGGCTACTTCTCTGCCATCT